GTGTGGAGGTGGTCGTGGGAAGGGCCGTCGGGTCGGTTGCGAGGTGGGCCGGAGGGGGAGGGGGGTCTTCGAAGCGGCACGGGTGCGTCACGAATGGCGATCCTGGAGGCGTCGTCGGTGGGTGGGTGGTGGTGGAGGTGGTCGTGGGAAGGGCGTCGGGTCGGTTGCGAGGTGGGCCGGAGGGGGAGGGGGGTCGTCGCAGTCGCACGGGTGCGTCAGAAGTGGCGATCCTGGAGGCGTCGTCGGTGGGTGGGTGGTGGTGGAGGTGGTCGTGGGAAGGGCGTCGGGTCGGTTGCGAGGTGGGCCGGAGGGGGAGGGGGGTCGTCGCAGTCGCACGGGTGCGTCAGAAGTGGCGATCCTGGAGGCGTCGTCGGTGGGTGGGTGGTGGTGGAGGTGGTCGTGGGAAGGGCGTCGGGTCGGTTGCGAGGTGGGCCGGAGGGGGAGGGGGGTCGTCGCAGTCGCACGGGTGCGTCAGAAGTGGCGATCCTGGAGGCGTCGTCGGTGGGTGGGTGGTGGTGGAGGTGGTCGTGGGAAGGGCGTCGGGTCGGTTGCGAGGTGGGCCGGAGGGGGAGGGGGGTCGTCGCAGTCGCACGGGTGCGTCAGAAGTGGCGATCCTGGAGGCGTCGTCGGTGGGTGGGTGGTGGTGGAGGTGGTCGTGGGAAGGGCGTCGGGTCGGTTGCGAGGTGGGCCGGAGGGGGAGGGGGGTCGTCGCAGTCGCACGGGTGCGTCAGAAGTGGCGATCCTGGAGGCGTCGTCGGTGGGTGGGTGGTGGTGGAGGTGGTCGTGGGAAGGGCGTCGGGTCGGTTGCGAGGTGGGCCGGAGGGGGAGGGGGGTCGTCGCAGTCGCACGGGTGCGTCAGAAGTGGCGATCCTGGAGGCGTCGTCGGTGGGTGGGTGGTGGTGGAGGTGGTCGTGGGAAGGGCGTCGGGTCGGTTGCGAGGTGGGCCGGAGGGGGAGGGGGGTCGTCGCAGTCGCACGGGTGCGTCAGAAGTGGCGATCCTGGAGGCGTCGTTCGGGGGTGGGTGGGGTGGAGGTGGTCGTGGGAGGGCGTCGGGTCGGTGCGAGGTGGGGCCGGAGGGGGGAGGGGGGTCGTGCAGGCGCACGGGTGCGGTCAGAAGTGGCGATCCTGGAGGCGTCGTCGTGTGGGTGGGTGGTGGTGGAGGTGCGTCGTCGGTAAGGCGCGTCGCGGTCGGTTGCGAGCGTGGGCCGGAGGGGGGAGGGGGGTTCGTCGCAGTCGCACGGGTGCGTCAGAAAGTGGCGATCTTGGGAGGGTCGTGGGTGGTGGGTTGGTGGTGGAGGTGTCGATGGGAAAGGGCCGTCGGGTTCGGTTGCGAGTGGGCCGGAGGGGGAGGGGGGTCGTCGCAGTCGCACGGGTGCGTCAGAAGTGGCGATCCTGGAGGCGTCGTCGGTGGGTGGGTGGTGGTGGAGGTGGTCGTGGGAAGGGCGTCGGGTCGGTTGCGATGTGGGCCGGAGGGGGAGGGGGGTCGTCGCAGTCGCACGGGTGCGTCAGAAGTGGCGATCCTGGAGTAGACTTTGGCCCGTGGCACGGACCGGATGCCCATGCAGCGAGGGGCTGGGGGAGCTGTCGTATGGCGGCGGCAGGGAGAGAGGCGGGGGCACTCGGCTGCCGCAGTGGCGGTGACAGGGGGGCCTGCCGCAGTGGCGGCAGCGGTGCCTCCGGGGCGGGTCGGTGGGTCGCAGCGGCCACCGTCGACCACGTCGCGTGGTAGGTGGGGCGTCGAGGGGAGAGGGACCCAGAGATCCGACGTTGTGATTTTTTCAATGCGCGGTCCCCCGAAGTCTCGACCCATTCCCCAGGACCGGTTTCTCATCCTGAGTCGTTTTTTGACGGTCCCGGGGCCCGGCGAGGGCCCCTAGAGGCCGAAAATCGAGAAACATTTTCGTTTTGATTTTTTCAATGCGTTGGAGGTCTGGGGGAGGGCGTCGTGGGGAGAGGGAGCCCCGGGGAAGGGAGGGAGGCGGCCATCTCCAGCAGAGCTGCCGCCGCCCTCCGTCGCCCGGCGGCAGGGGGGGGGGGGGCCGGCGCGTCGGGCTCGTCCGGGGTGGCGTCCTCGCCCTCCTCGGGGCGCTTCTGAGCCGAGGCGGCGGCGCCGTCCTCGCAGTCCTTTACTCGGTGGGGGGGGCGGGCGGCCACCGCCCACCGGGCCCCCCCAGCCCGACCCGAAGAGGCCTCGCTCTGCCCTTCGTTTCCAGTCTTAGTCTAGAGCCAAACGCTGGCCGAAGCAGTCAGCGGTGAGTTCCGGCTCTGCGCTAGGTCTCGTCCCGGGTGGTACGTTTTGAGTGGGAATTCGTATCACTCGGCCAGTGGATCTGTTTATCGGGCTTTTAGTTTACGTAGTTATACACGGAGTTCGATCTCCGGAAACAAAATCTAGTGTGGGGAGGGGGGGGGACGGGGAGCATGGGCAAAAACTCATCTGGAGCCCGTCCTTCCCCCCCCAACCCAGAATCCGGGTCTTCGGGCTGGCCTGGGGTGGTCTGGTAGGTAATGTCAGTCGTCGAAGAAGAAGGAGAAAACGCCATACGAACGAACTTGTGGCGCTCCGCGCGGATCTCTGGGATCCGCGTTTTTTTTCTTCTTTGATGCGGCGGCACGCTTCTTTTCATTGTGTCAATGTCGTTTTTTCAAATCCCTTTTCTCTCATTCAAGTCGGCGAGGCCGTCGCGGGGGCTGTCGGCGAGGCCGTCGCGGGGGCCGTTGCGGGGGCCGTCATGCGACGTGGGCTGCACCGAGTCACCGCTCCGCTCCTGGCCAGGCCCGTCCCGGGCACGGAGTCCGTATGTGTGTATACATACAGGTAGGGCCGGACATGTCCCTCTACAGGAGGAATATTCGAGGATACCAGCAAATTTTACGTGGACGTTTTTTGTTTGGTGCTCTCTGGACTATTCTTGATTCTGCTTTGACCATTCTTTTTTAGGTTGCTTCCCAAAGTCCGCCCGTAGGAGGACATGTCCAGCCTAACCGTATGTATACGTGCACGTGTATATTGCGGAGGCCTTGCGGCCGGTGCCGCCGACCCTGAACGACGACGACGACGACGACGACGACGACGACGACGACGACGACGACGACGACGACGACGACGACGACGACGACGACGACGACGACGACGACGACGACGACGACGACGACGACGACGAGCGCTCTCGGGTATGTGCCTCCCTGGCCGAGCGAGCACGGGCCTGGCCAGGCGCGCCCGCAGGTGAGGGAGCTGCTGCGCTGGGGCGAGGAGCTGAAGATCGAGAAGAAGCGCACGCCGTTCGTGGAGGGGCTGCTGCCCTCCATTCAGGGGTCGTGGAGGAGGATGGGCATGATGATGACAATGGTGGTGGTGGTGGTGGTCGTGGTGGCGGTGACTCCTTCTCCTCCTTATTCTCCTCCTCCTCCTCCTCCTCCTCCTCCTCCTCCTACTCCCCTCTCCCCCACTTTGTGGTCAATGGTCGCGCTCAGCAGACTAATAAAACAGCCCCGCCCCCCCTTCTGCATCCGCTTCTTCTCCTCCGCCTCCTCCTCTTCCTCCTCCTCCTCCTCCTCCTCGTCCTCCTGGAATATGGAACCATGCCACCACTGTCCACCCACACCTGGACAAACCCGCCACCCTCCGCGAGTTTCGCGCGTCCACCGTCTCGGCAGGCACAGTAGAGTGGCGTGTTTCAACGACCATCTTGCCCCCATGGAGCCCGTCGGGCTTGCCCGCAAAGGCAGCGGTGGTGGACTCAAAAGCCACTTGAGGCTTCCGTGCTATCGGCGCGAGCGGCGGCTCTGCAAGTTAGCGCGTGCTCTCCGAGCGCCTGCGCCGCGCGGCCGTTGGTGGCCCTCCGGGAGGTGCACGGCTCCGAAGAGGCTCTCGAGAAGTGGTTGGCGCCGCAGCCTCTTGAGTGCGACGTCGGCCCGTCCTTGTCGTCGACGCCCGCTGGCGGGTGGCAGTTCTCTGGCCGCGGTGCCTGCGCACTGAGCAGCCCCGTCAGACGCGCCACACGCCCTCACAGCTTTCTCCCGGAGTGGCTGTTAGAAGCTTTCCAGGCGAAGGCGCGCGGCGCTGAGGCGAGTGCCCTGTTTTGAAAAAGGATGCGCCCCCCACCCGCGTTCAGGGACGTGTTCATGCCGAGAAAGTCTCCAGCGACACGCACGGCACGCCCCACCGACACGGTCGGTGGTGGTGCGGCAAGGAACCGCCAATCTGTAAGGAGGAGGGGCGAATGGGGAAGGGGGACGAGAGGGAGGGGGGCGAAGTCTGTTCGACTCTGTGATTGTTGCCCCTTTTGCTGCCTACCGTCCACCATGAAGACCCCAGCGCCGATCCCCCAGCATGCAGCTCGAGCTGCCGTGCCACCGGTGCAGGCAGCGCCAGCGCTGGGGAGAGGCGAGCGGGCTGTGGATTGCGCCTCGTGCTGCGTGCCTGGACGACGGCGACGGCGACGGCGACGGCGACGACGGCGACGGCGACGGCGACGGCGACGGCGACGGCGACGGCGACGGCGACGGCGACGGCGACGGCGACGGCGACGGCGACGGCGACGGCGACGGCGACGGCGATGGCGACGGCGCGACGGCGACGGCGACGGCGACGGCGACGGCGCGACGGCGACGGCGACGGCGACGGCGACGGCGACGGCGACGGCGACGACGACGACGACGACGACGACGACGACGACGACGACGACGACGACGACGACGACGACGACGACGACGACGACGACGACCCCCAGCTCCGGGCAGGAGCTGCCGCTGGGCGCCACGGAGGACCGCGTCACCGGCACGATCGACATCGAGAAGGCGCTGCTGCAGGGCGGCAAGGCCTTTGAGCCGGGGCTGCTGGCGCGCGTGAACCGAGGAGCGGCTCGACGGCAACGACGGCGACGGCGGCGACGACGAGTTTGCGACTGCTCGCGAACCCTAGCATTGCAGGTCCAATCGTCAGAGGAGGTCCAATCGTCAGCCAAGTGAGCCCCCCTTGGGGTTCAGCTACCGGGATTGTTGTAAAGGATGTGTTCCAATTCTGAACCTCCACGAGTGTTTCAGAACTCTGGCCTGCAGAGGTCGGGTGCACACGTGGTTGCCTGGACGAGGACGAGGACGACTACTCGCTACCATCACAAACATAAACTTTCGGAGGTCCTCGCAGATCTCTTGGGTCAGCGCTGGCCCCCCACCCCCCCTGGCGGCGCCTCTGGCGCCGCCCCTGGCGCGCATCGCGTGCCAGGGGAGGGTGGGCCCAGCGCCGACGGGAGGAATCCGCGCGGCCCTCCGAAAGTTTACCAGGAATCCACGTGCACACGACGTGGCCGGCCTGGGGGAGAGCCCGACACGCACGAGGCGTTCCAGAAAGGGCCTCGCCTTGGAGGATCGAAGGGGCTGGCATCTTTTCCTCGGCTCGACGAAGGAAAAACGCCATACACATAAAATGTGAACGCTGCGCGCGGATTTCCTGGATCCGCGCTGGGCCCCCCGGGCGGCGCCTCCGGCGCCGCCTCTGGCGCGCTCCGCGCGCCAGGGAGGGAGGTCCAGCGCAGATCGAAGAAATCCCCGCGGAGCGCCAAAAATGTACACCCTGCGAAATGCTTAAGAAATCATGGGTTAAGAAATTCATAGTCTCAGAACTTGGATAAAAACCCAACATTTCCATTGCAATCTTAGGATTCACATTGAAACGTTAAGACAAATCGAGACTCTGGCCGAAAACTGAAGTTTTCTTAAGCATCGCCCAAGGTGTATGTTTATGACGAGCCGAGGGCGGCGGGAGGTGGCGGAGGTAAAACGGGGACGGCTCCGCCGGCAGAAGCCGGCGGAAGGCCCTCAGAGGATGGGGTGCGCGGGGCGGGGATCGGGGCGTTTTAGCGGGCTCGCTTTGCGTTCGATCCCGTCTCGGGCACTTCAGGGGCTTCGATCGGAGAAAGTTCGATTGCGCCGACGCTCGAGTTGTTCAGGCTTCGGTCGACAGTGCTACCAGCCCAGCACTGGGCCTCCAGAGCTGAGGACGAGAGGGGGCAGTGGCTTGTGTGTGGGGAGGTGACAGCATTTTTGCGCTCAGGGTTTCCCGAACCCGCCACGTATGGCCACAGGTCTTTCCAGCGCTCGGCCCTCGTGTGGCCAGGCACGGCGATCCAGCGGCGACCCCGCCGCCGGCGTTCGACGTTGCTCGCCGCTGGCGACCCGGAAGGAAGCGGTCGACGTTGAACGGCCTGACCTCTCGGGATCGGCCGATCCTTCGAGGTTGAACGACCCACGCGGCCGCGGCGTCAGGAACCAGCGCCGGGGCCAGCACGACGCGAGCCTGCAGCATCCAGCACGTGGCCGGTGTCATGCGAGTCTGGCCCCGGCCACGTGTGTCTGTGTGTGTGTGCGCGCGCGCGTGTGTGTGTGTGTGTGTGTGTGTGTGTGTGTGTGTGTGTGTGTGTGTATGCGTGTGTGTGTGTGTGTGTGTGTGTGTGTGTGTGTGTGTGTTTGTGTTCCAGCTGTTTTTCTCGCCCTTCCTTCGCCTTCTCTCTTGCCCTTTCTCGTGCGTCCGCCGGCCGCTCTCGCCGCCCCGGCCGCCGCGCCTCTTTGCCCATCTCGCCGCACGCTCTCAAAAGAGAGGGGTCTCTGGAGTCACTTTGACACACGAGAGGAAAGACGGAGCCTTTGAGGAAGGAGTTGAATCTCTCCTTTCGTTCTCGGAACTCGGCTGCACTCGCTGGCCGTGACCGCCGCGTTGCCGGGCACGTGGCTGCCGAGGACAAGTGCCCCAGCGGGGCTTCTTGGTCTGAGGAGGGCAGCTGAGGAGCCCTCCCACCCAGAGGGCGCGAGGCGCGCCGTGGGAGGTCCCTGCACCGCGGGTCCCGCCCCAGAGACCGGGGAAGGGAGGAGGTAGGCGGGCGGGAGGAGGGATGGAGGAGGAGGAGGAGGAGGAGGAGGAGGAGGAGGAGGAGGAGGAGGAGGAGGAGGAGGAGGAGGAGGAGGAGGAGGAGGAGGAGGAGGAGGAGGAGGAGGAGGAGGAGGAGGAGGAGGAGGAGGAGGAGGAGGAGGAGGAGGAGGAGGACCAGGAGGAGGAGGAGGAGGAGGAGGAGGAGGAGGAGGAGGAGGAGGAGGAGGAGGAGGAGGAGGAGGAGGAGGAGGAGGAGGAGGAGGACCAGGAGGAGGAGGAGGAGGAGGAGGAGGAGGAGGAGGAGGAGGAGGAGGAGGACCGCCCTTTATCAGGAGCCTGCCCGTGGGGAACGGGCGGCTCGGGAGGCGGCTCAGGCCCGCGCGGCATGTCTCGACCTGTTGGGCTAGGGCGCGCCGCTCCTCCTCACTTTTCCCTGTTTGTCCCCATCGGGAACAGCATTGACCCATTCCATCGTTGAGCGATCGAGCGATCCCCGCAGCATCGGCGTCACCCATACTGATACTCTGTGTGCGTCGCCCCCCCCCAAGGGGCGACGCGCGCGCCGAGAAACCTGATATAGTACAAGCTCCGTGGCGGGCGCTTTCTGGCCCTACCGCGCGGGAAGCGATATCCTACAAGATGGCTATACTAAATCTGATGGCTTCGAGTAAGTCTTTCTCGCATGGCAGTATCCCGGTTCAACATATATTATCGCTGCAAAAGAATACCGCCACAGGGCGTCCGTGCGAAGGCAATGTGCGAGGCGCAGTGTGGTTGCGTTGCTTTTTGGAGACAGAAAAAGATGGCTATACTAGATGTTCGGGTCGGACGGACGCCTCCAAGTAGGACTCGTAGTACCAGTGCATGTCCCTCCTCGAAGAAGGAAAAACGCCATAAACATAAACTTCTTGCGCCCCGCGCGGATTTCTTGGATCCGCGCTGGGTCCCCCCCAGCGGCGCCTCCGGCGCCGCCCCTGGCGCAGATCCAAGAAATCAGCGCGGAGCGCCAAAAGTTTATGTTTGTAACAGTTTTCTTCTTCTATATATGTTCGGGTCGGACGGACGCCTCCAAGTAGGACGCCTAGTTCGAAGAAGGCAAGTCGCCATACGCAGAAACTTGGGCGCTCCGCACGGCTTTCTTGGATCCTCGCCGGACCCCCTCCCTGGCGCGCGGAGCGTGCCAGGGGTGGCGCCGGAGGCGCCGCTGAGGGGGGCCCAGGCGCCGATCTAAGAAATCCGCGCGGAGCGTTGAACATTTTATGTTTATGACGTTTTTCCCTTCTTCGACCCAAGTAGGACACATAGTGCCAGTGTGCGTCTGTGTGTCCTTGTGCGCCCCGCAGGGTCAAGTTCTTTCCACAACGTCGACTCTTTAAGGTCTGGACCGCTTCCCCGGGACCGGTTTTTCCTCCCGAGTCGTCATCTGACGGTCCACGGTCCTGGTTCCCGGGAAGGGCCCCCGGAGGCCGAAAATAGCGAAGAACCTCCCGTCGTGTTTTTTTCGCAGCGCGAGGGGGGCCTGGGGTGAGTATCCTCGTGCGCCCCGCAGGAGTCCTCTACATCGACGAGGTCAACCTTCTGGACGACCAGCTCGTCGACGTGCTGCTGGACTCCGCGGCTGGCGGCGGGGCTCCCAGCCGGCCGCGCGGCCGACGCCGTCGCGCGGGGCACTGGGCCGCCGCGGTCGTCGTCGTCGTCGTCGTCGTCGTCGTCGTCGTCGTCGTCGTCGTCGTCGTCGTCGTCTTGCCCCCCTCCCCCCCTCTCTCTCTCTGTCTCTCTCTCCCTCTCTCTTTTTTGTTGTTGTTATGTTTTTATTGTCCTCTCTCTCTCTCTCTCTTTTCCCTCAGTCTCTGTCTCTGTGTCTGTCTCTGTCTCGGTCTCTGTCTATGTCTCTCTCTTCCCTCCCTCACAGTGTGTATATATATATATATATATGTATATTTCCCCTGTATCAGTAACGCTTGGCGTGCCGAGTCAGTCATGAGCGCATGCTGGAGGCTGCAGCTGACATCCCACTGGTTACAATCAAGCGACCAGTCTTGTGAGCCCAATCAAGCCTGAGAATGCGCTAAATAGCAGGAAGTACGGGCGCTCCGCCATCCGTTCAAATTGCAAATGAGCGCAACTTCAGGCACATGCCCACCCCGCTCCTGAACCCACCCTGTCCTGCTCTTTCCTACTCGCTCAGGGACGCGTGGGCCATCGTTTTCTCTACACGATTCGTTGCCACGCGTTTGGCGCGTCGACCCTTCGGTTGGCACGTAGGTGGTGTATCAAACATAGTAGTTTTTTGGAACTTGCGCAGACAGAGCAGCAAACTTAATGCAGCGTCACTGGTCGCTCTCGATCATCATTCCCCCATTGATCATGGGAGGAAGCTTTGGTTTCAGACGCCCCAGGACATTACTACTTGTTGTTACGGCTTGCACTTCGATTGCTGCTGTGTGCTTCCGCTTTTACTTGCGCTCTGACCGATTACTTGGGGCCCTTTCTTGCAGATAGTTGGGAGACCCTATGCTTCACTATCCAGCTGCCTGCGGCAAACCCCGCCACCATGCCTGTGCAACAGCGCAGCAGGAAGGAGGCTGAGTGTAGGAACAGCGCAATTCCGATGAGTAATTGGCATAGGGGCGGATCGTGATCCCGACCGCGCCTTCGTCCGCGCGGAAGGGAGGAGGAGGAGGAGGAGGAGAGGGAGAAAACGAGGATGAGGAGAAGAATGCTTCTTGGGGCCGTCTTAGGGCTTCCTGGGAGCCTCCTGGGAGCTTCCCGAACGCTTCTTGCGGGTTTCTTGGGGGCCTCATGGGGCTACTTGGGGCCTCTTGGGGCCTCCTGGGCCGTCTTAAGGGACCCTTGGCCCGTCCGACGCCTAGGGAGGCCGCCCTGGGGGGCCCCTCTCAGGCCGCTTTGGTGCCCTCCTGGAGCGGTTCACGGCCGTCTCGGGACCCTCCTGGGAGCCCCTTGGGAGATCTTCGGGTCCTCTTGGGCCGACTTCGGGTCCCTTTCGGGGCCTCTTGGGTTGCCTTGGAGCTATCCAGGAGGAGCCTCTTGGAGACCTCTTGGGGCCGTCTTGGGGGGCTCCTTGATCTGCCTCGAGGCTGTCTTGGGAGCCTTTTGAGCCGTCTTGGGCCACCTTGGGCCATCTTAGCGTCATCTTGGCTGCCTTGAACGCCGTCATGGAGGCCATGAGGTCCCCAGGAAGGCCTCAAGACAGATCAGGAGGTCCCCAAGACAGCCCAAGAGGTCTCCATTAGGCCCTTCAGGAGAGCCCGAGGAGACCACCACCATTGATCTTCCGCAGGTCTTCGAGCGATTTTGAGGTCCTGGCATCTTTGGGTTTTCGACCGCCCAAGACAGCCCAAGAGGCCCCCCTGGGCCGTCTCGTTGCCCTCTTGGAGCGCTTCAAGGCTGCCTTGGGGTCCTCGTTGGGAGCCCTTTGGGCGATCGTTGGGTCCTCTTGGGCCGACTTTGGGCCCTCTTGGGGGCCTCTTGGGTTGTCTTGGAGCTGTCCTGGAGGCCTCCTGGAGCCCCTTGGCCCGCCTTGGGCGGTCGGAATCCTGAGCAGGCGAGAACTTCAAATCCTTTAAACACCTAAGACAGCTCAATCGTTCTGGCCCCGCTGGGCTCTCCAGGAAGGCCTCTTCGAGCTCTCTCGGACCGTCTTGGGGGCCTCTTGGGCCGTCTTGAGGTCTTCCTGGGCTATCTTGAGCCGTCTTGAGGCTCTCTTGCGAGGCTCTTGAGCTGCCTTGGGCCATCTTGAGCCGTTTTGTTGTCGCCTTGGTCGTCTCGGACGCCGTCTTGGAGGCCATCTTGGCTGCCTGGAGGCCGAAACGACAGCCAGAAGCGGCGGTTTTTTAGGGGTGCGCGCGGGGAAGTGGGAGGTCCCCTAAAACTTTACAAAACCTCCCACACAACAGACCCACGCATTCTAACACGCCCACTCCGTGCAGGGACGGTGGCGTATTGCAGATATTTTCTGCAGCCGCTGCTCAGTGCTGCTGCTTGCGTGTTGGCATTTATTACACGCCAGACGCGGGCGATCCGCAGAATATCTCATACTTACGCCGTTGACTGTGCGCGACAGTTTCTTCTCATTCCCCAAGCAGTGCTTGCACTTAGGTCTGGTGGCGATGTGGCCGCCGTCGCCGCCCCGTCGCCGCCTCGTCGCCGCCCATCGCCGCCCATCCCGTCGCAACATGGGTTCTCCTGTCGACAAAAGCATTCGGATCTACCCCTCCCCGGGATTACCCGCCCGCCTTTTTGTATTGCACCTTGCGTGTGATTCTGTCCCATCGTCCACTCTAAACATGAATTCGCAACATCCCAGCCAGGGCGGTTGTACACCCCCCTCATCCTTTGCAACAAATGCTATGCACGCACACTCGGTTATTCAATCACATCAACTTCCAAAACTCCCTGGCAACATTGGAGCGAAGTGCACACGCGCACGTCGTCGCGCGCGCATGCCGAAATCCCTCAACAACCGTAGGTTGCACACGGATTTCAACATCGAGTGTCCCGAACACGTCTGAAACAAACAACTTTTTGTAACACCAGTTTTCGAAAAAGGTCAGCGCGCGCGCTCTTGCAAGTTCTATACAAACATCGGTGTTCAACATCAATCATTTTCGACCAAACGAGCCTCTCGCGCCGCATGTCGACATGTCGAGATCACTCGAACGCCTTTGCGCGCGCGTGCTGGGGTGGGGTGGGGGATGGGGTAGGGCATGGTCCCTGTACCATGCGGGCCACTCGCGCGTGTCGGCCGCGCGCGCATGTCGACCTTCCAAGACCTTCATCACCGACGCGATGTCATCGTCATGATCATCGGCGTGATCAGCGTCGGCGCTCCCATTGGCCTTGCAGTCGTCATCGTCACCATCGTCACCACCATCGCTCGTATCATCATCGTGTCTACCGTTGTCGACGTCGCCATGATGCCGCGCCCGCCCAAGTCACCGATTCGCACCCAAGTGCCCGCTGGGAAATGCCTAGCGGTCAGCGCCACCGCGGCCGCGCCGGTCGCGCCAAACCAACTGGCCGCTGTGCGCGCGAGCGTGCACGGGCAAACGCGGCCGCAGAGGTGCACCAGCCACTACCAAGCACTCATCACAATCGCCGCCGCATTGGTATTGTAAACCAAGTTGCGGGTGGGTGGGTGGGTTGATTGTCGGAACAGTGGAATTGACCATTCCAAGTTTCCCAAGCCTGGGTTGCACAGCATAAATTGCACCACGGACGGGACAACAGACATTGCACGGCATAGGTTGCACCACATCGCATGCACCGCATAGAATGCACCGCATGTGTTGCGCCACATTGTTTGCACCACATATTTTGCACACTATAGATGGCATGAGTTCTATGACGCCGCATATTTTACAGCATGCAGGTTGTCCACATAGAGTGCACCACATAGATCGCACCGCCTCGGCGGCACACCATCGATAGTACTACATCGACTGCACCCGACAAATTGCACAACCAAAATCCCACAACCTAGGTTCCAACACATTGATTGCTTCACCTGTGTTGCGCAGCACAGGTTGTACCACATATATTGAACCACGCAGGTTGCACCATACGTGCACCACATAGTACCTTTTGCATATTGCGCACGCTCGGTGGCACAGCATCGGCTGCACATCATATATGGCAGACATCATAGTGAATCACCTATTATACACAACCTACTTTGTACACACCAGGTTGCACAACTTAGTTTACACCACATGTACTGCACACTATATACTGCACAACATATGTTGCCAGACCCCAGGGCCGACCGTCCCTGGGGGGAGGGTGAAATCTGAACGTGTTTCCTGCCTTGAGGGTTCAGGGCTCAGGAGGGTGAGGGGGGGAGGAGGAGGAGGAGGAGGAGGAGGAGGATGAGGAGGAGGAGGAGGAGGAGGCGGAGGCGCAGGAGGAGGAGGCGGAATGAGGAGGAGGAGGAGGAGGAGGAGGAGGAGGAGGAGGATGAGGAGGAGGAGAGGAGGAGGAGGAGGAGGAGGAGGAGGAGGAGGGGGAGGGAGGAGGAGGAAGAGGAGGAGGAGGAGGAGGAGGAGGAGGATGGAGGAGGAAGAGGAGGAAGGTGGAGGTGCAGGAGGAGGAGGAGGCGGAGGAGGAGGAGAGGAAGCTGCGGAGGAGGAAGGGGGAGACGGAGGCAAAGGAGGAGGAGGAGGAAGAGAAGGAGGAGGAGGAGGAGGAGGAGGATGAGAAAGAGCAGGGGGGCGGGGGAGGCGGAGGAGAAAGCAGAGGCGGAGGCGGAAGAGGAGGAGAGTGAGGATGAGGATAAGGATGAGGAGGAGGAGGAAGAGGAGGATGAGGAGGATGAGGAGGATGAGGAGGAGGAGGAGGAGGAGGAGGAGAGAGGATCGAGAAGGACGGGCGGGATCAGGATCCCGATGATTTCGATGATGATGACGATTCTGATGATGATGATGCTGCTGATGCTGATGATGATACTGCTGATGGTGATGGCGACGACGATGATAAGGATGATGGCAAGGCTGGTGATGCCAATGATGGTGATGATGCTGATGCTGCTGATGCTGAAGCATGCGGATACGAAGGTGATGATACTGATAAGGATGCTGCTTTTTTTGATGATGCTGATGATGGTGATGCTGATGGTGATGCTGATGCTGTTGATGATGCTGCTGCTGATGATGATGCTGATGCTGCTGCCGCTGTTGCAGCTGCTGGTGATGATGCTGTCGCTGACGATGGTGATGCTGCTGGCAACGGCGGCGACGACGATGTTGATGCTGATGATGATGCTGCTGCTGATGATGATGATGAGGATGCTACGGCATATGATACTGATGATGCTGATGGTGCTGATGACGCTGATGCTGATGCTGCTGCTGCTGCTACTGATGATGATGACGCTGACGCTGATGCTGATGATGATGCTGATGACGATGCTGATGATGCTGATGATGAGGCTGAGGCTGAGGCTGATAATGATGATGATGGCGATGATGATGATGCTGCTGATGACGATGCTGATGATGATGATGATGACGATGATGATGATGCTGATGATGATTATGATGATGATGATGATGATGATGATGCTGATGCTGCTTATGGTGCTGATGATGGTGCGGCTGACGCAGGGGCTGACGACGATGCGGCTGCTGTTGATGACGATGATGCTGCTGCTGCTGACGCTGACGATGCTGATGGTCACGATGCTGATGTTGCTGCTTATGTTGGTGAGGATGCTGACGCTACTGATAATGCTGATGCTGATGATTGTGCTGCTGCTGATTCTGATGCTGATGCTGATGCTGATGATGATGATGATGATGATGATGATGATGATGCTGGTGATGATGCTGTTGCTGATGTTGATGCTGATGATGCTGATGATGTGGATGATGCGGCTGATGATGATGATGATGCAGATGCTGATGGTGCTGATGATGCTGATGGTGATGATGACGCTGACGCTGATGACGATCATGCTGCCAATAATGACGATGAGGCTGATGATGCTGATGCTGATGTTGCTGATGCTGATGCTGCTGATGATGCTGACGATGCTGATGATGATGATGATGATGATGATGATGATGATGATGATGACGATGATGATGATGATGATGATGATGATGATGATGATGCTGATGCTGATGATGATGGTGTGGATGATGCTTCTGATGCTGCTGCCGATGATGATGCCGATGCTGCTGCTGCTGCTGATGATGATGATGATGCTGATGCTGATGCTGATGATGCTGCTGCTGCTGATGATGCTGATGATGCTGATGATGATGATGATGCGGATGCCGATGAAGCTGATGCTGATGATGATGCTGCTGCTGATGCTGATGATGATGCTGCTGCTGATGCTGATGAGGATGCTGGTGATGATGAGGACGCTGATGATGCTGCTGCTGATGATGATGGTGCTGATGATGATGCTGATGATGATGTTGATGCTGCTGATGATGCTGATGATGCTGACGATGCTGCTGCTGCTGATGATGATGATGATGCGGATGCCGATGATGTTGATGACGCTGATGTCGATGATGAGGTTGATGATGCTGATGACGATGATGATGCTGCTGCTGCTGCTGATGATGATGATGATGATGCTGATGATGATGATGCTGCTGCTGCTGATGATGATGATGATGATGGTGAAGAGGATACTGATGCTGATGCTGCTGCTGATGAGGCTGATGATGGTGCTGCTGCTGATGATGCTGCTGCTGATGATGATGACGATGCTGCTGCTGATGATGCTGATTATGATGATGCTGATGCTGCTGCTGCTGAGCATGATGCTGATGATGATGAGGATTCGGATGATGATGCTGATGATGATGATGGTGGTGGTGATGATGATGATGATGATGCTGATGCTGATGCTGATGCTGATGCTGATGCTGATGCTGCTGATGATGATGACTACGATGGTGATAATGATGGTGAGGAGGAGGCGGAGGAGGATGAGGGGGAGGAGGATGCGGAGGAACAGGAGGAGGAGGAGGAGGAGGAGGAGGAGGAGGAGGGAAACGAGGAGGATGATGATGAGGAGGAGGGGGAGGCGGGCCAGACACCCAGGTTGGAACACGGTCGAGCGCGAGGGGATCTCCGTCAGGCTCCGCCTTCTCTTTCGACATTCGGGGAGTGGGTCGGCGAGGCGATCCCTCTCAGCGCCTTCCTCTCCCATGTACTGTTTGCCTCCCCCCCCCCTCCGCCCTCCTCCTGCTGCTCCTCCTCCTCCTCCTCCTTCCTACCCCTTCTCCGCCTCCTCCTCATCCTTCTATTCCCCTTCCTCCTCCTCCGTTCTCCCCCTCCTTCCCCCCTCCCCTCCCTTCTCCTTCCTCCCCCCTCTTCGTTTCTTCTTGCCTTCCCACCTATTTCCCTCTCACCCACTCCCCCCTCATCGTTCTCCTCTTTTCACCCCCTTTCCCACCTTCCCCTTTCCACAGTTACGCACTATGTATACGACGGTCTTTCCTCCTGATCCTGTCTCATCGTTCTCCCACCTCACGCGTCTTGTTTTCCGCATGCAGGGTTTCATTTGTCATATGGTTTTGTTGTTTGCAATTCGGGCGTTTTCGGTCATCCTAGACCACCGACGCGATGGCCAGATATCGGGATTTGTGCCGAATTTTTGCTTTTCAGAATGGCGGTCTCGCTCCAGGGCCTCTTGGCGGAATGTTTGGGCTTCTCGGGGGCCTCTTTGGCCGTCTTACGGTATTCCTGGCCCGTCTAACGCCGTCGGAAGCCGTCTTGGGAGTCTCTCTGGGCCGTCTTGGGGCATTCTTGGGGTGTTTCAGGGTCGTCTCGAAGGCCATCTTGGGCGTCTTGGAGGCCTCTGGGCCGTCTTGGGGCTCTGAGGAGCCTCTTGGGCTGTCCTGGAGCCATCTTGGAGGCCTCTTGGGCGATCTTGTGGTAATCTTGGGGGCCTCTTGGGCTGCTTGGGCCGTCGGACGGCCGCTTTGAAGCAAATGTTACAAAACCGTCAACAACATATGAATCTTCGATGACTTTGGCCTCGTCGGGACTTTCTGGATGCCCTCTTGGAGGCCTCTTGGGCCGTCTTAGGGACCTCCTGGGCGCTTCTTGGGCCGTCTTGGGCTCTCTTGGACCATCTTGGAGGCATCTTGGGACCGTGTTGGAGGCCATCTTTGGGCTATCTAGGGGTCTCTTGGGGCCATCTTGCCCGTCTTGGAGGCCGTCTTGGGCATCTTGGCCGTCTTGGAGGCCATTTGGGCAACGGTGTTTTTTTTTCCCCCTGGGCTGTCCGGGTGGCCAGCGGGTTGGGCCGAAGTTCCACTGTGAGTTCGAAAGGTCGGTTCGGGGAGGGTTCCCTAGTGTCCGTCGTGCTTGTTGGATGTTCTTGTGCATCCTTGGGAGGGCCGGCAGCGGGTCTCGTGTTCTTGAGGGATGTTCCTCTGGCCTAGGTCCGACTCTATCCCGCCACCGTGCCTGGGCTCCTGGGTCGTGGGCAAGCTTCTTTGTGGCCTCCTGGGGGGAGGAGGAGGGAGCAGGAGGAGGAGGGGGGAGGAGGGAGCATGAGGTGAGAGGAAGGGAGGGGGGGAGGGAGGAAGAGGAAGAGGAGGAGGAGGAGGAGGCGGAAGCGGAGAGGAGGAGGAGGAGGAGGAGGAGGAGGAGGAGGAGGAGGAGGAGGAGGAGGAGGAGGAGGAGGAGGAGGAGGAGGAGGAGGAGGAGGAGGATGAGGATCTCGGAGCCTCCTAGAGGCCTCTCTCGCGCCTCCTGGGGCCTTCTTCCACACTATGTTTTTTGTCCACAGTGCGTGTTTTCCACAGTCTGTTTTTTCCGCAGGCTCGCGCCGCCTCTCGACGCGGCGGCGACGACGGCGCGGGCGTGTTCAGCGTGGACTGTCCCTCCTCTTCCCTCGGCCCGCTGCGGGCCGCCGAACCCGCAGGAGTCAGGCCACGGCGCGAGATTCGCTCGAAGAGTGGGGCTGAGAGCCTCTGGGGAGCTCCGAAGGTGGAGATCGTTCAAGGTTGAACGGTTCGTTCGGCAGCGGATCATGGGAGCCTGGTATACCCTCTCAATTCCGCCTTTAGCGTCGGTTAGCGTCGATTAGCGTCTGGGAGTCGACGAGGTAGCGCCGATTTAGCGTCGGTTAGCGTCGACTAGCGTCGATCTAGCGTTTGTTAGCGTCGACCAGCATCGATTAGTCGATTAGCGTCGACTCGCAAGAGCCGGCAAGACGGTACGGGAGGCTTCCATGAGTTGCCACCGAAGGTTCGCGTGGTGGCAGAAACCAGGCCCCACGTCCTCACGATGATGATTGCCTGGCACTTCGCGGCGCCGAGCCTACGTTGCTGGGTCGTGGCCGGCGGGTAGCGTACAGCATACAGGCGGGCCTAAGATGGAGAGAGCTCGGACGCCTGCGCAGAAGGTCCTTCGGGTGGGCCGGTATTCCTATGATCGCTATTTCTCTTCGGTCGTCTGAAGTTCTGTTCCGTCTCCTTTGACCTTGGTGGCCGCGTGAGGAACTCATGCTCCCCGTCGCAGTCTCCTTCCTTGATCCCTCTCTCCTCGTCTCGCTTCTCTGGCTGCTCCCTCGCAGCCTTCTCGTCCTCTCTGTCCGCCTTCCTCCATGTTGCGCCCCATGGCCGTCCCCCCAGCGGCCCCCGAGGCGCCCCAACCCACGAGGCCTCCAGGAGGCCTCCAGGGCGCTAGGAGAGGCGCCAAGAAGCCCCCATGCAGCGCCAAGGGGCTCCCAAGAGCCCTCCAAGAGGCATCCCGACAAACTTCAAAAAGCGTCCAAGAGGCCTCTGACCCACAACCCTTCCGCCATTCTTGTCCTGTCAGGCCCCCCTCGCTGCTCGTCCCTCGTCCCCCTCCCGCCGGTCCGGCTCGCCCGCCGCCCCCTCCGTCCCCTGGGCAGCTCCCGCGCCTGCCAGGCACCCCGCCCGCTTCATGCTGGTCGGCACCGCACATCCCGATGAGGGGCTGGGGGTGTGTGGGCCTCCTCCTCGTCCTCCTCCTCCTCCTCGTCCTCCTCCTCCTCGTCCTCCTCCTCCTCCTCCTCCTCCCTCCACCTCCTCCTCCCTCCTCCTCCTCCTCCTCCTCCTCCGCCCTCCTCCTCCTCCTCCGCCCTCCTCCTCGTCCTCCTCCTCCTCCTCCTCTTCCTCCTCCTCCTCCTTCCTCCCCGTCTTCCTCCGTAGCGATTGTGGCTCAGGCGCTCGAGGCGACGAGCGAGGTGGATCGGCTTTCCCTCGTGGGGGCTCCGCGCAAGCGGTGGCGGTGCTGGCGTGACGCCGCTGGCCCAGAGGCGTCCTCCCTCTCTCCTGAAGTGTGCGTGGGTGCGGGGACAAGTACCGGCTCGCAGATCCTAACTACGGTTAAGTCGGGCATGTCCCTCCACAGGAGGAACATTCAAAAATAGTCAAAAAATAGTCATGGGACGATTTTTCGACGTTCTTAGAAACAAATGTTTGACTATGTCTGGTTTCTCTTCTAAAATCCGCCTGTAGGAGGACAGGCCCGATCTAAAACTACGGGTGGTTCTTGTCAACATCCGCGCAGATAGCAGCGCGGCCTCCGCCGCGGGGCCTCACACTCGGGGCCTCGCCGGGTGTCCGTCCACGGCGGCGCGGCGGACACGGATGAAGTCGGGGCGGTCCGGCGCAAGGCGAGGCGACTCCTGTCGGGAACCTCTGCCAGGCGTGTCGCGCCGGCCGTTCCGGCCCACCACGCTTCGGCGCGACAAGCTATCCACGTCCCAGGCCCCAAGCGTCAGCGCCCCAAGCCTTGCCCAGCCTTCGGCCCCGCGAAGCGGAGCGACACGCCATCCGTTTCCAGAGCACAGCGTGCCGCTGGGGCCGCCGCTGCGACACGCCAAGCCACAGCCCCTGACCAGAGGTGCCAGCAGGAAGGCCGGAGCATTCCGCTGCGCGTGGAGATCGGGGGAGCTGCGGCGGAGGCGCGCCAGGGACGCGCCGGGCGGCCCCGCTGCAGCCACCGTAGGCTCCGTGACGCGGGCGCCATTTCTCGCAGGCCTAGAGGTTGACACCGTCACCAATATCGGCGGTGTGCTTCCACCGTGGGAAGACGATTCCGATCTCGGTGATGGTGGTAATGTTCTGGCTTCCAAGGTGACCGAAGTATTACCACCAACACCGAAATTCAGGATCATCTTCCCCCTGTGGAGGCAACAAGACGGACCGCTTGGCTGCGCGTGGAGGCTGAATGAACTGCGGTGGAGGCGGGTCAGGACCGCCAGGCTGCCGCTGCAGCCACCGTGGGCGTCGCGAAGCCCAGGCAGAAGCTGTAGCGACGGAGGACGAACACTAAGGATTCGGTCAGGAGCTTGGGGTTGGTTGGTGGTTGGTGTCTTGCGGCGGCCGTTCTGGCCCACCACGCCTCGGCACGACACGCTAACCACTTCCTGGTCCCCGAGCGTCAACGTCCCGAGTCTTTCCCAGCCTCTCGTCCCGCGGCCCAGAGCGATGCGCTATCCGCTCACAGGGCATAGCGTACCGCCAGGGCCGCCCTCGCGTTAGAGCTCGAGGCTGCCGAGGCACTCGGCGAGAGCATGGCCAGCGCGGCGCCAGACTGGCGGAAAGCGTACGACCATGTCCACCTCGCCTCCTTGCACGGCCTGTGGATCGTCGGACCTGCCATGAAGGCGCACTTGGCCAACAGGTGGCTCCAGGTCGGCCGCGCCATCGGCAGCGCGTGGGCTCCCGCCAGCGGCATCCTGCCTGGCTGCGCACTGGCCATCTTCTTTCTCAGCGTGCTGACGATTCCGTCGTTCCAGCGCAAGGGGAAATCGATGACAGCCTGTGGCGCCGGATCTACGTGGGCGACTTTACACTGTGGGCGTTGCGCCCCGCGCGCGAGGCCAGAGTGGCGGCGGAGGCGGTCCGCCAGGCACTGCGCGTGAGCACCGAGTTCGAGCAGGCCATGGAGTGGCAGCTCAACAAGGGCAAGAGCACGCAGTTCGCGAACGCGGCAGCGGTGAGGCGGTGGTTGGCCGTGCAATCGCCCAGGGTTGCCAGCACCTGCTTCAAAGACCTCGGAGTTGTCGCAATCGCCGGGCGCCGGTGCCGCAGCGCGGTCGCGCCCGCGCGCGCCCTGGACGCGGTCGGCCAGTTCGCCCGCAACGGCCGCGCTTGCCAGCGAGTTTCTGGCACCGTTGTTTGGTGGGCGCCGCGGCCCGCTGGCATGCACGGCGCCGCGTGTGGGCGGCCCCGTGCGCGAGAGTTAGCTGGCCTCAGCTGCCGGCCGGCACGCTGTCTGCAGAGGGGGGCCTAAGTGCTGCCGCAGAGGTGGTGCTCGGCGTGCTCAGCCCGAGTTGGCGTCTGGACCCAGCGGCCGTGGCCGCCCTGACACCTCTCTGGCAGCTGGCCAAGGCTCTGCGGCGCGGGCGGCTCCCCCAAGTCTTCTGGTAGGCAGCGGAGGGCGCCATCGCTACCACTCGCGGCCGCGACGCGCAGCATGACGGAGCTGCAGCGTGGCTCCAGCGTGGCGTGCTGGCGCGGCGTCTCGTCTGCCTCAGCAGGGTAGCGGCTTATCGACTGCCCACCACAAGACGCACGATGTGCTCATCGCGGCCTGGGCGCGGCGCGAGGCTCGCGCGCTTGCTGCCTGGCGTTCGGAATTCGTGCGCGTCGGCGGTGGCGTGGACCGCTGGGCCGCAACGCCTTCTGCAGAGCGGCCCGCTCGCCCTTTATGCAGCTTGCGCGCTCTGGGCGGCGTTGGCGTGAAACGTCATCACCGAGCAGGTGGCGGCCACGTGGGACAGGCCAGAGTGCTGCCCGCACTGCAGAGTTCGGTGCGAGGTCCGGCAGCATCGCTTTGGATTTGCCGCGGTGGGTCGACACCAGGCGCGCGGCCCACGCGCTTCACGCCGTCCAGCAGCCGGCCGAGGTGGCCGGAACGAAGTCTGCGCAGTCTGGCAGGGGGCCTCGACGTGAGAATGGTCACATGCCGCCCTGTTTGGGCTTATTCTGCCCCACTGCCGCTGAGGCCACTTGACGGCGCGGTGGATCATATGCCACCTCGACGAGGACGGCGCAGCGGCGCTCGGGGTGTCAGCCGAGGACGGGCTGAGCAATGCCGCCGCGGATCAGCTGGCAGGGGCGGCGGCTCGGCGCATGTGCCGCCGGAAAATCTGTTGCAAGCGCGCGGGTCGCGCCGCGCGCCCTCAAGACGCTGCAGGGGATGCTGGCTGCTGTCGGGTTGGCGGCGTTCAAAGCCAACCGCGGCAGCTCAGCAGCTCTGGGCAGGCGTCGCCGCGTGTGCGGCGCCGCTGGGCGGCGCTGGGCCCGCGGCGCTGCGCGCCCCGCGTGGGCGGCGATGCGGCGGTGGCTGCAGCTGGCCGCGCGGGCGCCATCGGGGCCGCCCGTCGCGGCTCTGCGCCCGAGCCAGGCGGCCGCGGCCTGCGCGCTCTTCGCGGGCGGCGCCTGGCGGGCGCATGTCGGTTCTCGGGGGCCGCGCTGGGTGGCCTGCGTGCGGTGCGGCAGCTGGACTCCTGGCTGGGGGGTGCTGGCGAGCCGACCTTGCGCTGGCTGGGCGCTGGCGCTGCCGCCGTGCGCGGCAGGGGCTGCTTCTGCCCCCAGCGGCGCGCGCGGGCGGCGCGGAGGCGGCTTGGCGGGCCGCCCCGTGGGCACGCCTCGCGGCGCCGCGCTGGTGCGGGGTGCCGCCTCGCGCCTGGCCTTGCTCGGCTTGCCTTCATCCCCTCTCCTCCCCCGCCTCCGCGTTCTCCCCGTCGTGCCGCGGGGCTGCTTTCGCGCCTGCAAGCAAGAGTCGCCAGGCCGGCGCCCTGACGCGCCGAGCCAAAGTTCCCGACCGTTTTGCGCCCCAAGGAGGAGGTCGGCGCGGCCATTGCGAGGTTTTTGTTTACCGATAGGACCACCCTACGGGTGATAAGGAGGTTGGGGGGGGGAAGGGGGAGACGGTCGATTTGCGATGGCTCTGGGTTCTTTGGTGGTTTCTTCAACATTCCGATCGTCGCGCACATCTGCCCATCTATCTATATCGACCTATCTTTTGAATTATAGATAAGACAACCACATGTATTTAGATATATATATATATAGCTATCTAATCTATATTTCCCTCTTTCAATCTAACAGTCAATCAATCAATCAACCAACCAATCTGCCAATCAATCTATATGCTTATATACTTATATATATACATACATATATGTCTAGTTTCAACTCTCTATATCTCTATATAACAATCAACCTTTTTTATATACTTGTATTCATCCCTCTATCTATCTATCTATCTCTCTGTCTATCTATCTTTCGGTGTATCTCTTTATTCGACAAAACTAATTCTCTCTCTCGCTATATATATATATATGTCAATGTCTCTATTCTTTCTAGCTTTTTATCTATCTGTCAGCCATCGGGACAACCATCGGGACAACCATCGGGACAACCATCGGGACAACTATCGGGACAACATCTGACAACATCTATCTATCCACCCATCTATCTACCTATTTATATATCAGGCATCGGGACAACCATCGGGACAACCATCGGGACAATCATCGGGACAACCATCCGGACAATCATCGTGACAACCATCGGGACAACCATCGGGACAACCATCGGGACAACCATCGGGACAACGATCGGGACAACCATCGGGGCAACCATTGGGACAACCATCGGGACAACCATCGGGACAACTATCTGGACAACATCTGACCACATCTATCGATCTACGTATCTATATATCAACCATCGGGATAATCATCTGGACAACATCTGGACAACATCTGTCGATTTATGTATCTGTATATCAACCATCGGGACAACCATCGGGACAACCATCGGGATAATCATCTGGACAACCATCGGGACAACCATCGGGACAACCATCGGGACAACCATCGGGACAACCATCGGGACAACCATCGGGGCAACCATCGGGACAACCATCGGGACAACCACAACCATCGGGACAACCGCCGGGACAACCGCTGGGACAACCGGGGGCCACGCCCGGCGTTTCGGGGGCGGCCCTTTTGGTAATAGATGGCCTAGCTATGGATGGAACTCGCGCAGCCTCGCCTCGCCCGCACGCACGACACGAACCGAAACCGAAACCGATTTCCCAGGTTGGGGTCACTTCCGTTCCAACCCCCCAACCTCCGATTTCTGTTCTGGTGTGCGCGCCCCCCTTTGCGCTGCTGAGCGCGGTCGGCATCGGCGGCCATGGCGCTGTCTGCAACTGGATTCGGTGCGCATCCAGGTCGTGCATCGGGGCAGGGAGACCACCGGCGGGGAACTCGGTGAATTAGTCCACGATGGAGGCGCGAGCTTCGCCGACACCAGCAGCAAGCAGGTTGCGCAGGAGGCCCGCGCGGGCAAGCAGTCCAGGGAAAATTGCGAGGCGTCGACGACGAGAGCAGATTTTTCGTCAAAGCTGCTGAGCTGCACGGGCGTGGCCGCGGCAAGGCGCGCACCGTCGAGTGCCTGGCCTGGTCGACAGGCTGCAGGCAGAACGCCAGACAGGCGGAGACGGCCAGGTCAGACTTGAAGAAGTGCCGATTTCGTTCGGCGGTGCGCGCGCGCGCGTCGCCACAGCGGGGCGCGCGCAGTGGCGTGAGCCCTGAGCGCGCAGCGTTTGGCCCTGGCCAGGGCCTGGGCGCCCGCGGAGTGTCCGCAGAGGCCGCCGGGATGCTGGCAGACGGCCTCAGGGGCGCGGCTGGGTCCAGCATGCGCCAGCGAACGGGTTTGGCAAGCCCCCATCAAGCTCTGCAGCCTGGCGGGCGCGCGTGAAGTTCAAACCGCATCATGAGGGCGCGTGCCTCGTCAAGGGTGCTCCTGCGTCCTTGCCTCGTCGGCCGTTCCTTGGCCTCTTCGGCTTCTTTGGCGCCGTTCCCAAAGTTCAAGGTGGGTGCCCACGGTTCTTGCGCCCCTGCCGAGCGTCCTTGTGATCCAGTTCGATGATAACTGCTTTCCCGCAGTCGTCTGTGCGAGGCACCGTTGCTCCAATGATTTTCTCCGTGGCGCCGATGCGAGGGGCGCCGGCCAGAGGCTCCGCGGGGCCCCCGCGGCCTCCCGGGAACCGGATTAGTCGAGCGCGCCGAGGGTGCGGGTGGCGGCGCGGCCGAGCCCCCATCGACAACGAGAGCCCCCGCCCTCTTCTTCTTCTTCTTCCTCCTCCTCCTCCTTCTCCTCCCTCCTCCTCCTCGTCCTCGTCCTCCTCCTCCTTCTCCTCCTCCTCCTCCTCCTTCTCCGTGGCCATGCCGGCTCGAGCTACTTTGGCTCGAGCCATTGTGGTTCGAGGTTTCTGCCGCTGGCCCGCGACCCGCTCTCAGTCTACATTTCGGCCCGGTCCGCCTTGGGTTGCGAGCTTCCAGTCTCGGGGAGCCCTGGGAGAATGCGCCTCGCCTCGGACAGGTTGGGTTGGTGAGCTCTGCGGAGCACTTCGCGCAAGCGTTCTTCACAGACGGATTCGCCACGTGCGGCTCGCGCGGGTGTGCGTGGGCTTGGAAGCGTCGGGCCTCGTGCTGCCAGCGTGGTGAGGAAGTCCTTCGGAGTGCCGCCGCAGTGGGGGGCTCCACCGGTGCAGGGTGCGAGGGAGAAGAGGCCCCCCGCGGCCGTTGGAGCCAGAGGGCGGGAGCTTCTCGCGGGGCGAGTGGCCCATAGCCATAGGTGCCGTCGCGCGCGCCGAGGGCGTGCCAGCGGCGGAGGCGAGGGGGGGCGGAGCGGGGGGCCCCGCCGACAGGGCGCCGGCAGAGTGGCTCCAGGCCCTTCGGACAGCCGCGCCCCGCGTGGCACGGGGGCCCCTCCCACCGCTTTTGACCCGCGTGCCCCCCGCCCTCTCGCGCCGAGAGGAAGGTGGAGCCGCCGAGGCGCGGCCGACAGCGGGGCCGAGGCGGCGGAGCGCAGAGCCGAGGTGGAGGCCGCGGGGAGGGAGCGCGCCAGGCGGTGGAGTGGTGCAGCGAGCGGAGGGAGACGACGGACGAGGCGGCCCTGGCGGCGTGCAGTGGGTCCGGCGGAAGCGGAGAGGGCGCTGCAGGCGTGCTGGCGCGCGCGTGGCGCGGCAGTCTCGGACAATGGAGTGCGCGAGCCCGTTCCCGCAGATCCCCCCGCAGCCTTTAGTCTCACCGGAGTTTTCGATGGCGAGGAACTCGCGTTCTAGGCAGGCGTAGCCCTCTCGACATGGGCTTGAGGATAATGGTCGGGATAAGAAGGCGCTGAATGATCTCCAAGCGAGGTTCGCGGCGGAGCTCAAGGGCAATGTCAAGGAACTCTTCGGCATGAGGAGGAGGAGGATGAAAAAGGATGATAACTTGGAATAGGAGGAGGATGAGGAGAATGAGGAGGAGGAGGAAGAGGAGGAGGAGGATGAGGAGGAGGAGGAGGAGGGGGAAAAGGATGCTGCTGCTGCTGTTGATATGATGATGCTGCTGCTGCTGCTGATGATGATGATGATGATGATGATGATGCTGATGAGGCTGATGATGATGATGATGATTATGCTGATTATGCTGATGATGCTGCTGATGATGATGATGATGATGATGATGACGATGATGATGCTGATGATGCTGATGATGCTGATTATGATGCTGATGATGCTGATGCTGATGCTGATGCTGATGCTGATGCTGCTAATACTGATGCTGATGATGATGATGATGGTGGTGGTGGTGGTGGTGATGATGATGATGATGATGATGCTGCTGCTGATGATGAGGAGGAGGAGGAGGAGGAGGAGGAGGAGGAGCCGGATCAGAAGGAGGAGGACGAGGAGGAGGAGGACCAGGAGGAGGAGGAGGAGGAGGAGAAGGAGGAGGAGGAGGAGGAAAGGAGGCAGGAGGGAAGGAGGGGAGGAGGAGAAGGAGGAGGAAGGGAGAGGAGAGGAGGAGGAGGAGGAGGAGGAGGAGGAGGGAGGAGGAGGAGGAAGCGGAGCAGGAGGAGGAGGAGGAGAGGAGGAGGAGGAGGAGGAGGAGGAGGAGGAGGAGGAGGCGCAGGAGGAGGAAGAGTGGAGGAGGACGACGACGACGTCGACGACGATGACCGCGACTACCGCGACGACCGCGACGCTGGCCCCCGCTGCGGCCCAGGCTGCCGCGCGCGCGCTCTGATGGCCGCCGCCGCGCGCGCATGACGGTGGACAGGGCCGGCTGCGGCGGCCCGGCAGGCCGCGCGGCGGCCGGCCAGTGCGCGGGGTCCCTGCGCTTCAGGCGCCTGCGGGGGTGGGGGGGGAGGCGACAGGGCCCTGCGCGCGGAGGGAAGGGCCGCAGCATGGGCTCGTCCGAGGCGGGGATTTATACATGACCACCGCTTGGAGGGTCAGTTTTCGGAGCCTCGGCAGGCGGTGGGTATGGGCATTTTCAGGCCCCCGGGGGCCGAAATGTGTCCATATCCACCGCCCGCTGGGGCACAAGGGCGTCGGTTCCCAGGCGGTGGACATGGATAAATCCCCGCCTCGCAGCTCGGGTTTCCGGGCCGTTCTTTGGAACCAGGCTGGGGAAGCCGAGGCTCGCCGTGGCCATAAAAAGCCCCTTCGTGTCTTATTCAGCGCTCCTGACGGCAGCGCGAGGACTGCATGGCCTGACAGCCGCCCTCGCCCGTGAGTGATGATGGACCGCAGCGGCCTGTCCACACATGGGGCCCTCCAGACAAGGGCCTCGTCTTCGTGGGATCGAGCGGCTGCCCTCCCTTCCCAGGTGGAAGGCAAGCGGAAGGCGGCGGAAGCAAAACGAGGGGGCGGCTGCGCTGGCTGAGGGCCAGCGGGAGCCAGCGGAAGCAAAAGTTGTGCCCCCAGGAGATGTAAACGTCTTCTCAGCGGAAGCAAAAGCTGTGCCCCCAGGAGATGTCAACGTGTTCGTGATTCACGGGTCCTGGAGCGGGCCGCACAGTGTTCCACCCGTGAGTGTCCGCACGCCCAGGGTCACGAGGCACATCGCTGCATGGAGCGGCTGCTCAGGGTCCGCGCGCCAGCATCATCACCGTGCGTGCATGAGGGGGGAGTGGGGGGCTTCCTCGAAGAAGGGGAGGTGGAGGCCTCCGTGAAGGTATCGGAATGGAGGGACTCCCAGGGCGCTTTCCCACGCTCCTCCTCGAGAGCACCAGCCAGGGCCCTCGTCGATGCACCCAGTCCAGCCGCCAGGCAAGCTTTCCTTTTTTGGTGGGCCTGGGAGATTGCATGGGGAGGCGCCCTGTGCGTCGCGAGCGCACGGGATGCTGTGTCTGTTTGCCACGCAACCGTCTTGTCTTCTCCGTTGCTCCCGTCAGGTGTGCGCCCGTATTGGATGTCCAGCAGTCACAGCTCGTGGAGTTCTTGGCACGGGGGCACAGGTACGATCGTGAGTCCGTCGCCGTCGCTGTGAGGGAGGGGAACGATCTTTTCGACGCGCGGGACTCGTCGAGGGCTTTCGACGCATACGGCGTTGCTTACGAGCTGGCGCGGCTGACGTTTGACTACCGACCGCTCCTCTACGACCTGCTGATTCGCCGCGCGATCTGCCGGTCGATGCTCGGCGACGTGGAGGGTGCTCTGGCGGAGGTCTCTCTCGCCGAGCGGGTCGTGCCACACGAGTCTGCTATTCACTTGCTCCGAGGGCTACTGCACATGAAGCTGGGGGCCCGGGAGGTCGCCTCCCACTGCCTGCTGCAAGCGGCCATCCAGAACCGCGAGCTCCGCGACCTCGTCGAGTCCTTCGTCGGCCTCTGCTGGCTGAGATGGGGTGAGTGCGACAAGGCGGTGAAGGCCAGGCGGCGAGACCCCCTCGCGTGTCCACCGCCGCCGGCCAGGCCCGGCCCGCGCTCCGGGAGCGGGTGCCCGCGCTCCCACCCCTCCTGGCCCCTGCTGTAGGGAGAGGCCCCCGTCGCCGCTCCCGGGCCTGAGCCGGGCCCCGGCCTGTGGCGGTGGATCCCCCGCCTGGACCTCGTCGCCCGGCAGGTCTGCTCCAGGGTGCTGAGCCGCGCGCCAGCGTGCCCCCTCGCGCTGCTTGCCCGCCGGGACGCCTATAGGTACCACCCCTCCGGCCGCTTCGCTCGACAGGCCGAGGCGGACGCCGCCGCGGCCGCCGCGCTGGGCGCGGGGCTGCCGGCGCGCCTCGGCCAGCGCCTGGACGCCTCGGAGCCGTGCCAGTTGGACGAGCTGCTGCTGCACTTCCACCCATCGCTTCGGGAGCAGGGCGGCGATGATGGGCCAGTCTTCCACCACCGCTACCGTAGGTAGGACGAGTGAGAAGGGAGGATGGGGAGGTCATGCTCCTCCTCCTCCTCCGTCCTCCTTCTCCGTCCTCCTCCGTCCTCCTTCTCCACCTTTTTCCTCCTCCTCCTCCTCCTCCTCCTCCTTCTCCCTCCTCCTCCTCCTCCTCCTCCTCCACCTCCTTTTTCTCCTCCTCCTCCTCCTCCTTCCTCCTCCTCCTCCTCCTTCCTCCTCCTCCTCCTCCTCCTCCTCCTCCTCCCTCTCCCCCCTGTTGTGGCTAGTGGTGGGAAGGCGGCCCCTCGGGCGAGAGCTGCGCGTTTCCACCGACCCGTGGCCCGGGGGCCCACGCGGGGCACATGGTGTCGCCGTCTGTGTGCCTCCTGGGCCAGGCCTTGCGTCGGGCATGCCCCTTCTACAGGAGGAGTATTTCAGAGGCCAGCAACATATGTACACGTACGCGGTTAGCTTCCCCTGGAGGGCATTTGAACGAGGACGTTCGTGCACTCAAGATCGCGGAGGGCGTACATGTACATATGTCGTTGCTCGCTCAGTATTCCAAGAGTGGTAGAAGCATGTCGGGGCTGGACGGACCTCCTGCCCTGCCACGTCGATTGGTGAATTGGCCGTTTTCGGTTCGCGGGAGGGCGTCGCGGCCGTCATTTTTGCGGGTCCAGGTCCATCGGTTTCGGTCCCGGGCCGTTTTCACTAAGGGGAGGTCTACTAAAGGGAGGTTTGTCCAGCGCCGAGCATGGTCTGGTGACGATTTCTACTGCTCCTTCGACTATTTTTGGACATGCTTTGATTGTACTTTTCACCATTTTAGTGTCTTTTTTTCCAAACTCTGTCTGTAGGAGTTTTCAAGAGTAGTGGAAACATGGTCTGGTGACGATTTTTACTGCTCTTTCGACTATTTTTGGACATGTTTTGCTTGTACTTTTCACCATTTTCATATATGTTTCTCCAAAAGCTGTCCGTAGGAGTTGTCAAGAGCAGAAGAAGCATGGTCTGGTGACGATTTCTAGTGCTCCTTCGACGTTCTTTCGAGTATGTCTCGATGGCTCTCGTCACTGTGGAAATCCATTGTTCTCCCCAGCTCGGCCTGCGGGAGGACATGGCCCGACCCGAGCCCAGCCGTGCGGGGCGTGCACGCCGCTCCCGGGCCCCCCGGGAGGGGCCCCCGGCCCGGGGCGGCGGCTGCGCACCGTGTCCTCTCGAGGCCTCCCCGGCTGGGCTCCGAGCCGACGGGGCCGGAGGAGCGGCCCGCGCCGCCGAGGCGCGGGCGCTGCGGCTCGCGCGATTTTCCTCCTCCGCGCCGATGGCGCCGACGCAGCGCCGCTGCATCGCCGAGGCACCGCCCACGGCATCGCCCACTGCATCGCCGCTGCAGCGCCGAGGCGGCGCGGTGCCCCGGCCCCGTCTCTGCTCGGAGCCCATCCCGGAGGCCGCTGTCCTCGCCGCCCTCCCGTCAGGAGCAGGGCCCGCGCCCCTACGAGGATCGGCTGACGATAACATCAGCAGCTTGAGGCGGCAGGGGGCGGCACAGCAGGAGGGCCAGGTCGGCGTCACCGCAACATACTAACAGTGCGTCGTCGTTTTCTTATGCATTGTTTTGCCGAGTGGCGCGGGCCCTCGCCCCCCCCCCCCCCCCCCCTCCGCCCCCCTTGGCTGTCTTTGGTGCCTGCTTCAAGCAGGTGGAGTCTCCCCCCATAGGACGCACTGTTGCAGACAGTCGCATAAAGCAGAGGTCCAGAGCCAGATCCCCTCCCTCTCCCCTCCCCTTCCGCCCAATGTCGAAACGCCGAATAAGAGTGTCGAAACGCCGAATAAGACAACGTTCACGATGTGTGCGTCGCCCCCAGAAAGGGTCGGCGCGCGCGCCGAGAAGTCACTCGGTGGCGGGCGCTGTCTGGCCCTACCGCTCGGGAAACGATCTACGACAATATTGCTATTCTATATGTTCGGGCCGGGCGCACGCCTCGAAGGAGGACGTCTATAGTATTAGTATGTCCTTGTGCGTCCCATTCGTCTGGCCGTGCATGTTCATGGTCAAGGTCGCATGTTTCATGGTCAAGGTCGCATGTTTCAGGGTCAAGGTGGCATATTTCATGGTCAAGGTTTCATGGCTTCTGATCGGGGTGCATTATTTCAAAGTTTATGTTTGTAGATTTCAAGGTAAATAGCTACAAGGCCCGCGTCCCTACGAGGATTGACTAACAATATCAAAACAGGAAGGGAAATTGGACAATGATAATTAGCACGGCGAAGGACCCAACCATGTGCAGTTGCTGAGCATCGTCTTAGATGGAGCTCCCTATGGGCCACGAAGCGTGCGAGTGGCGTGCCGAAATGGAGGTGGAGCCGCATGCGAACCCTGCCACTGAGGAATTCGGTGCATTAGGAGTAAGAAGAAGAGGAGGCACTTATTACTTGCAAAAGGCGTATCAATAAACATGATCACGATGCTAGGAAGAAGCGACTGCATGAGCACGAGCTCTCGAAGGACCGCGCGGATTTCCAGGACATGCGCTGGACCCTCCCGTGTCGGAGCCTCCGGCGCCGCTCCTTGCGCGCTCCGGGCGCCAGGGAGGGGGCTCCCGCGCCGATCCAAGTCCGCGCGGAGCTTTGAACAAACATCTGCTCCTTACAGGCAGCGTGCTACCATCATCGGTGGCCGCGTGCGAACCCTCCCCCCACCCCCCACGATTTCTGAGGGGTGGTGGTGGTTCACTCCACTCGGGAGATCCCGAACGAAGTGAACCCCCACCCCCCCTTAGCAATCGTGGGTGGTGGGGTGGGGCTCACATGTGGCCTTGTGATGTTCCGACCTACTTTCGCCCGAACCACCAGAAAGAATCTCGAGACCAGGAACCACTGAAATTGGAGGGTTTTCACGTGTCGGGCTCTGGGAGGCGACACTCGCTCGACTCTGTTTCGATACCTTTGTGGGTGCTCTCGAAATTCTTTTTGGGATCTGGTCCTCGAGTACGATGGGAGCAACATAAATGTGGCCACCTACAGAAGTCGGGGGCGGCAAAGAGGGGGGTGATGACTGGTGTGTGTGTGTGTGTGTGGATATCATGGTGTGGGCCATGATACTTCCCCAGATTTCATGGCGCCTCTTCTTATCTCATTACGTCCCTGGCCCCCCCCCTTGGGCCGCGCACGTGTCGCCAGCCATGATTCGCATCCCCCCCTCTTGGACGCCCCCCTCTTGGCCGCCCCCGCATGCGGAACGCAGAAATATGGAGCGGCGGGGCTTCCCTGGCCCCGGCGGACCTCGGCCGCGCAATGGTCCCCCGACCCAGCCCCGAGGAGCGGCCCGAAGACCAGAGGGCCCCTCCCGATCCCAGCGCGGTCCTGGTCTCGGCGTCTTGGCTGCATGTCGCTGCATCCCCCTCTCGGGAGGAGGAGGAGGAGGAGGAGGAGGAGGAGGAGGAGGGAGGAGGAGGAGGAGGAGGAGAGGAGGAGGAGGAGGAGGAGGAGGAGGAGGAGGAGGAGGAGGAGGAGGAGGAGGGGAGGAGGAGGAGGAGAGGAGGAGGAGGAGGAGGAGGAGGAGGAGGAGGAGGAGGATGGAGGAGGAGGAGGAGGAGGAGGAGGAGGAGGAGGAGGTAGGAGGAGGAGAGGAGGAGGCGGAGGAGGAGGAGGAGGAGGAGGAGGAGGAGGAGGAGGAGGAGGAGGAGGAGGAGGAGGAGGAGGAGGAGAGGAGGAGGAGGAGGAGGAGGAGGAGGAGGAGGATGATGGGGAGGGCGGAGGGGGGGGGGGGGGGGAGGGGAGGGGGAGGGGAGGGGGAGGGGGGGAAGGGAAGGGGGGAGGGAGGGGACGGGAGGGGAGGGGAAAGGTCCTGAGCCCAACCTCCCTCGCGAGGAGTACCCGGCCTGCCCCTGCTCCCGCGGGCGCCTGCGCTTCGCCGCCGCGGCGTGGGCCGCGCTCTTCGTGGCGCGGCTGCGGGGCGCCCGCGGGCCCGCGCGCCCCGCCGAGGCCGCGGGCGGGCACGCGCTGGACGGGCCGGGGTTTGAGGGCCAGGCCCGTCCAGACCTCGGGCGCCTCGAAGAAATCGAGACGGAGGTTTTCCGTAGTTTTTGGTCTCTCGGGGCCCTCGCCGGGCCTCGGGGCCGTAAGACAGAGACTCGGGATGAGAAGCCAGTCCCGGGGAAGCGGTCGGGAGGTCGGGGGTCCGTGTCTCGAAAAAATCGAGACGTCGGATGTGTGGGTATTTGTTTCCCCAGACATGATCGCGTCGCAACAAGAATCAGGACGGGAGGTTTTTGGCCAATTTCGGCCTCGGGGGGCCCTCGCCGGGCCTCGGGGCCGTCAACAAAAACGGCGCAGGATGAAGAACGGCTCCTTGGGAAAGGGTCGGGATTTCCAGGGACATCGTAGTGAACAAATCAGGACGTCGCATGTCTGGGTCTAGAAGACCAACCTCTGGGGCCGATGCCAGATGCCGTTCTCACGTCCCAGTCAAAAGCGTCCATGGACACACTGGGTGCCGTGGCGTAGACACTTTCGTGGTGGATATACGTCTATGGACAGCTCGTGGCCGGTTGCGTTCGGCGCGGCGCAGGGTCGGAGAAAGGTTAGATCCGTCTACGGTATGTTCCTGTTCTAGAGCAGGTCGCCCACCCCCCCCTTGTTTTCCTCCGGCCGCGTCCCTCCTCCCTCCTCCTCCTGCGTGGTGGCACGATTCGCTCCAGCGGAACCCCCGTTCATGTCTTCTTTGCCGGCGCAGCTCCTGGGAGGCACGGCGGAGTAGGGGAGTGGGCGCACCCCAGCTGGGACCTCGCAGCTCCCCAGGAGACTGCGAACGGAGCAAGCGTCGCCACTTTTTCGTGGGCTCCTGGGAGGCACCACGAAGTAGGAGGGAAATACGCGCATCGTGCCTCCGAGACCTCGCAGCTCCCCGGGGGGCTGCAAACTGCGCAGCCGCCGCCAACGCCAAGGCCGGGTCCGCCGCACCGCGGGGGCGCGCGCGCGCAGTGTGTCGCGCGCTTCGCGCTTGCCGCGGTGCCCGGGCGCGTTTTCTCTCG